TCTCTCTCTCTCTCTCTCTCTCTCTCTCTCCTCTTCATTTTTTGTCTTTTCTTTTCCTTACACAAGACTATAGTATGAGCTACCTTCCAAAGGGACACATCTTCAAATGTTATTAGAATGCAACGTTTCCCCTTTTTTTCTTAAAGTATCTCTTATCTTCATATCTCCTCATGTTCACCCCCCCCCTCCATGCACCCCTGGTAAGTCTTTTCTTTCTTTCTTTTTTCTTCTCTCTTTCTCGTTATATCTGCCATCAACCGGTCCGCATTTTTGACGTTATTTTGTTCGTCTCTATTTTCTTCTAATTCTTTCTTCATGTCTTCACTTCTCTTTCCTTTCCCATTTCCATAATCTGTTTGTCTCTTTTTCTCGTATTTTACCATCTTCCTTATTACTTCCAACCTTCATGTTTTTGACTTGTTAGCATGCTGCACATTCTTTTATATATCCCGTTCGTTAGATCTTTCATTGTTTCATCATAATTTTCAACCCAGTAATTTTCGTCCTGTTTAGCTTGTCTATTCTCTGCATGCAGTCTGTCTTTATCTCCTTTTTCCATTTCCACCCACGCCTTCGTCTTCCTCCGTATCCCGTAGAAAAAATGCCTGTGTGGGTGGCTATTTCTACAGCGTTGACTCTTTCACGCTTGCTGGGCCTTATTATAATTATCAACACGCACTTCCTGTAGGCGGTAACCATGTCCGAACTCTTCAACAAACCTAATGTGTTTCTTAGATTGTATCGCTCGTTTCACATTGTCTCTTCTTGTTGTTTTCTTTTAGTAAGATTGTTATGTCACTTATTGCAACATACATTTATCAAATCAGGCGCCGACAATGCGAGGTATTACTAAAAAGTAACGTGCAAAGAGAAGGAAAGACAAGAACGAATCGATAGATATTTGACAGGAAAGAAAGAAAAATCCACATCACAGCAACTACCTACCACCCACAGAGGAAAACATTTTGTGGGTTCCCAGCCCCACACGAAGACGAATAAAATGTCTAGTTTTCCTTATTTCTTTCAAACTACATTGATCTATACTTTCGTTAAGGAAAAATTATAATGTATCCCTCTAGATATCAGCGTATCACATATGATACACAAACATTAAGACCCCCTTGGCAATGCAACTTTGACATTGTTGTCTGGTCACCTCACTTGTTATGATGTTAAAAGTCAAAATTTGGCAACCCCTTCCTACCTACCCGGCAAATAATACCGAAGTGGGAACCGCTACAATTGGAAACATGTATTATAAAGCCCGGAGATGAAATTTGCACAGTCCTTTGGGGATAGAGGATATAATAAAATTATACCCCTACCTGGAGCACATTCTTCTTCGTAAATGAACAACAACAGCCACAGCAAAAATAAACAACAACAACAATAATGATAATAAGTACAGCATCGACGATCGTAACAGCGGCAACACCAGTACCAACACTCACAGCTTAATCGACAACAGTAACTGCTACTGTCACCATTTCTTCCTTAACGAGAAGCACACACAAATACACACACAAAGTTAAACACACACACACACACACACACACACACACACACACACACACACA